ATCAGGAAATTGCATTGTAAATCCGTCATTGTCTTCACTTTTAAATAAACTCATCTGCTTTAAGTATGGAGGTGGGATTTATGTAAGGCGTGGTGCTGGGATAGGTTATAAATTGAGAAGAGGCACCTAGTCTCCTTTCTTAGAGCCTAACATCTCATCAGGGGCTTTAACATTTTAAAATGTGTCTGAAAAGAGAAACGTCAGTCCTTGTCTAGGAACTGCCCCTTCGCTTCTATTCTTCTACAAAGTCTTAGTTTGAGCTCGTCAATCGCGCAAAAATTATAGTGTTATGAGTAATTGTTGTAAATATAAGCTTCTAGAAATCTCTAGACTGATTAGTCATGCTGACTTACATATCATGGAACTTTCCAAAACATTTCATCAAGTTACGCAGTTATTAGGAAATACTATTAAAAAAGATCTTTTGTAAGCCTCTGGAAGGTTCCATAAAATATGTTAAGATTCACTTACGTAGTAGTAGGAGTAGTTGTTGCTGTCGGAGCGACGACTGTCTTTTAAAGCTATACCGAGAGAGAGTTACTGCGGAAGATTGCTTATTTCAAGGAACTTTGGAGATTGTGTCAGTGGCAAGCTGGGATAAAGACTGTGGTGGGCTTAGTGGGCTTATTAAGCTTAGCAACGATAAGTATTGTACTTCTTTTGGGAGTCGCTCCTTGTTAAGAACATTAATCGCTGTGTAATAAAGTAGTTGAGTTTGTAGGATTGTTGTCTTTTTCTGGCGGTCAGATTATATCGTGACAATAGGTTTACTCCTCCATCAAGTTCTTCGGGGAAGGCCTCAGTGGGGCAAATTTTTGGTGCTCAGTATTTCTTCATGAAAGGGGACCCTGAATAACGGGAAAAATTCTTATTGCAACCTGTTCCAACGCTTTGTAGAAGATTCTTTAGAAATGACCCAGCGAACTCTGCATGAAAACGAGACAACTGCATGAAACGCCACAAAAACGTCGAAGATCTAGATCTATGTTATCACTGATATCATGAGCTCATGTTTAGTGTATGTGTTACAAGCTTAGTCACGTTATGTTGGTCGAATAAAATGACTTTTAAACTTCCTACCATGTCTAAAATGTTTATGATACTAGGTAAAATATGACGGTTGGTCATTAATTCTCAGAGGATGGTGGATATCGATGCCTGAACGTAACAATGGCGCAATAAACGTTTACAGTGTCATTGATTTTTGGTTCAAATAAGCTGATCATGCATTGTTATAGCTGTCTCTTATATACATGCTAGTTTGGAAAAGGATCTTTTTGAGGCAATTTTACGAATGACCTCATATTTATGCATCTGAATGATTACCATATTTATCGAATTCCTAGATTTGATGTCAGCGAAGTTACCTCCGGATAGCTGTTTATTGACTCATTTATGATCTGACATAACGCTTTTGTTAGTTCTTCTTCTCCTAGCGGAATAGAAGCACTTTCAAACTTAAAATTTAAAAGAGGCACTGTCGATAATATAGACGGAGATTTACAGAATTTGGTTTTTGAACTTAAAGCCGGAAATAAACGCCTCATGGAAGAAATTCGTCACATCACTGCCGAAGAGGAGAGCTTGAAATCAGAAGTTGCGGAATTGAGTCGCCCCAAAACGATGTTGCAGGCAAACATAATTACCTTAGAAAAATTTGTGGAGTATGATAAGGATTTTATTATCTATACAGGATTTCCTAACCGCGCAGTGTTCGATAGTATCTATGCATGTTTAAACCCTGGAAGCGAAGTAGATAATATTATCTACTGGCATTCACAATCAGATGATTTTATGAAAAATTAGAGAGCTGGTGAGGATTCCCCTAAACATGGCAGCTAAAAATCAAGTAATAATTTTGAAAAAATCTCTGTTGGTTGAGGCAAGGGTTCAGGGAACGGCATTTAACCAATTTATTTAATATATCTCGGACTCCTCTGAGCTGCATCATCATTTCGTCGATAAATTTTATGTTTTTTAAAATTACCACCTTTCCATTGTGGCCTTCAAGGGAAAAGTTGAGGGACATATGCCTGCCGATTTAAAGGAAAAAGATACTCATCCACCAGAGTCATCATCGACGGCACTGAGGTTGGGTGCCAGATGCACCAGAGTCTCCGTCTAAAAGTAATGAGCTTTACAGCTCATAAATGACCCACAACACTCAGGGTTGGTTGGTATGAACCAAAGAAGCCAAGAGGGCATTCCCCAAATCGAGTGTCTTCCAGAGGTAAATTGCACTTAATGGATGTGTTAAAACTAGCCCAAGCTTGGAACTGTGCTGGACAAGAGGCGACGTTTACGCTTTGTATGAATCAAGTTCTCGTTTGGGTCGACAAGTAAACGTGTGGAATATTTGTCTTGAAGTACTTGTTCACCCTGAACAAAAAAAAAGAGCACAAAGAAACAAGCAGTTTGGCCAAGTCTTTAGGTGACATGTACGTACCGCTTACAGAGTTACCTAACGCCTTTGTTGACAATCCCTTGCACGAATCGCCCCGACATTGTAGCCATAACATAAAAACAGCATTCTTTAACCGAGACGAAGGAACACTCCCATTTGAACAACTTTAAGGAATATCTCCATCGGCTCGAAGTGAAGGACCGCTTCAACGTTTTTTCTCGAAGACGCCACCTGTGGCCCCCGATGCGCGTTTTAATGCTATTCGAACCAGATTATCTCGGTTAGCTACCATTTTGGAATGATGCGAACAATAATAATAAATATGTGTTATTCACCAGACGGGAGGTCCGTATCGGGAAAAACTGTGCCCGAGGTCTTGGATACAGGCCTCGGGCGGTACACAAGACAGAGTAATAACATTTTTATTTTTTTCTAAAACCTAACAAATGGTTGCGAAAAGAGCCCATGGAGCTGTGAGCGGGCCGGATGGGGAGAATACTGCCCGCTCTCAGACACGAAGATAAAATAAAATTTGGACCGGGGATAAAATTGAACCACAACGTAGACGTGCAGAGTTGCGAAACCCTTCGCTGTCTCGTCTATAGAAATGAAATATCATAAAAAATCGTTAATCAGCCAAACAACTTTGAAGCAAATCAAAAGAAGCAAAACATGTTTTTTATCAACGATTACATGTTCATTCACCCCTCTACAAGCCCACATGCGTATAACTTTAAACCTCCGTAACACGGCTTTTTCACAGGATGTAAGGCGATCACGAGGTTCACGTTTCGCGTGGTCTGGAAGTTATAATGTAACTATGTACCACAACAAATTCGTGTGCGCGTTCTCTTTCCCTCAGATGAAGGAAAAGAAAGTCAGACAAACAATGGGCAAACTTCTCCCTCTTCTATTGGAAGTAGGACTTCATTGCTGGACACTTGTAATTTTGTCAAACTCCCACGCTCGACATACGCATCACCACGCGCGAGAAAATAGAGCTTATTTCATATTCATTCACTGAATCTTATTTATCTTTTAACTAAGTCATTTATTTCCAAAACTTATCCACCTGTTTGTTTTATATTTTTTTAATGTCATATATGTATCAGTAATAATAATCCTCGTATTAGGTATTTGTGTCGCAAGTGTTAGTCTTTATTAAGAAGCATATTCACGGCATGCACGTGCCAACCAATATATATATATATATATATATAAAAAAAAAACATTTAAAACCTTTTTTTCTCAAAGCCAGAATCTATACTTTATGGTATGTTATTTTCCATGCTTTAATTATTTTAACACCTCTTCGTACAGGTACAGAAATAATACAGACCAGTTGTAAGATTACTGGGCCGTTGAAAAGTCACAAGGCATCCTGTAGTATGTAATTTCCTGGATTTTATTTTTGAAAATAACCATATATTTCGAATATCGTAAAGGTTACATGAATTTAAACAGCATAACAACCTTTACTGTTGACTGATGCTAAAAGTTTCAGTTTTGTGCCAAATTCACGGAAATGATAATAATTGATTTTCGAGCTTCGTTTTTGCATTGCTTCCTGGACATATCGGCTGTGTTTCGCCCGTTTGGTTGCGTGGATGAAAGAAAAAGCAAAACTGAAAACAAAAAAGATGGAAATCGAAGATTAATAACTTAATCAATGAACGAAGCAATTTATAATTACAGCAAAGTTTGCCAAACCAGGAACACGTGGAGCTGATAGCGCGCGCAATATACTTTTAGGAGTCTATTTTCATTCTTCTTCGGTTAGCATTCATTCCGTTACCAATATTGATCCTTATTGTATCTTTTAAGAAACGAAACATAGTTTCTAGGATAAGTTGGGTTTTGCTAAGATTTCTGTTTAGGCGCCAGTTTCAAAATTTTCCAGATTATTTTTATATTCCATCGGAATGAATACGAGACTGCTAAAGAATGCCTTTTTATTTTTTTTTTAAAAAAGGACGAAATTAGGTTAGGCGTTGAGGATGCTTCAATTTGTTAACGAGATACGAATTATGACTGAAAAATGCAACTGAATTTGCTGAGTTCAGTTGAAGCGTTGCTACTCTTGGCCTATCCTTGGAACCGATACAGTATTATCTTTGGGTTTTGATATGCTCTATAAGATTTTCTAATTCTGAGTTTAGCTATCATTTTGCTTGTATTGATATCATAATAAAGTTCGGGTGTAATGCGCGTCTTCATTGGTTGAAAGAGCATCCTCGATCAGAGAACAGAGCTTAGAGCTGAGTTGAAGCTGTCACGCCATCTGCCGCTTTATATTATGTCCGGCCTTTCATAGACTTCTCTCTAGCTTTTTTTCGTTAATTAAAAGTGAAACTTTGGAACAAGTGAGCCGCTAAGTAGCAACAGAAGAACTGAACAAAGGTTTGAAAACATGCCAAGCGCCTCAATTTACATTGTTATATCGTGAGCAGAGACGAAAATCCTCAATGAGAAAACGAAGGGGATAGTCCGACTTTTGAAGGTTTTCACGCTCAGTTAGATTGCAAGCTTACTTACGGTACAAAAAAATAAAACACTGCTAATACTTATAGTATACGTAATTTCGTGTTCAAAACAGATCAAGACAGGAATGATAAA